ATATATGAACGAGAAGAAAACTGGGCGAAGGAAAAAGTATAATCTATGGAAAAGTACATTGCAATGGTGGTACATAGACACACACACATGCAAGTACATATGTTTCGGTGAATTGACAACTGGCTAGCAAGCGATGATAATTATAAGCTAAATAGACTCATTGATAACTTGGCAGGATTCAGTGAGCTTACAAAACTGATTACGACATTTTTAAAAGCAGGGAAAACGAGACATATGAAAGTAACAACTATTACGTCGAAATAAGCGGAGAAATTATAATGATAGTAATCTATCTTATAAAAAAAAGGCTAAGAAAGATACCACAAATTATTGTGTATTATAGTATATCTATTATATTACTATTATTCGTAATAGTTGACAGTATGTACAGGGACAACTCTGCCGAACAAGTCCTGCTATAGATTATATATCATCTTCTCGGTAATGGGCACATACGATGAAACCATGTGATGGCAGCAATAAAATGGAGCAAGCAAGTAGCCGTCACGGAACGACGTAAAGACAGGCGACCCGTCTGAAGTGAACGATGAACGCACATACATGGCGCGCAGGGAGGCAGGCAGGCAAGGAAAAAAAGAGCTGCGAAATGTTTGCATCACGAGTGTACGGGGGAGCAATTGTCGAAAAACAAACCTCATTACACTTGGGGGGTGCGTTGGAATACTAGCCGCTAATAAACCTAACTGTGCCGTCGCTGACGCTAATGCTAAAGACTGTAAAAAGGCAACGAGAAAATAATAATATACCAGAACTATACATTTAAAAAGAATTTGTGGTCATTGTAATTCCAATATATCGTATTGGTGAAGTATGTGCCACTGAGGGAGCACATCTAATAGTACGGCTTCGATAAAAATAATGATTGTTGTATTGGCCCTGTTAATGAATTTTTCTTTGTTCTTCGTTACTCTAAGATTATTTGTTGATGAATAAAAAAAAAGATAAGCCTGCGGTTAAACTAATATATATTGTCTAATAGTTTGGTTTGCCTATGCATTTGCGTAAATAGTAATATCGTAACAGAAACGAAAGAAAAAAAGAACAGTGAACGTAGTCCAAATATATCTGAACGCATTAGAAATGAAAATTCACAATAGCGATATTGTTTTAGAATGGCTTACAACTTAAAAAAAAGTGATCGCTTCACAAGGCCTTCAGAATTGTTGTGATTTCTGCGGCTACGTTCTAGTGATAATATACGACCTTATTCTATTTGTCTTCTGAACTTCTGCACTACTTCTATGGTTTGTTTTTCTATTGGTCAGGTATTCTACAGCGGGTCGAAATAACCTGAACGCTAAAGACCATATCGTGAAAAGTTGGGAGTGCCTGGACCATAATGAGTAACCAGTGGCCCTCGAAAAGCGATTGTACGTTCTACTGTTAATGCAATTGAAATGGCATAGTTATTCTTACATAAACAACATATTTTAATAAAGATAAAAGGACGAATATGAACATTAAGTGAGAACTTAGATGGATAGCAAACTCCTCAACATTGCAACCCTCCTGCTAGGCCAGAATGTTCTAATAGACCCCTAATTAGCTAACACAATGATACTGCTATTTCTTGAGGACGGAAACGGAAAACTAGATCATACATATGACCACTCAGGTGCAAGCTAGAGGCGTCTCTAAACACACTATAACACGAGATTAATAACCCGCAACGAACATAATATGTAACAGACGGAAATCGTCATAAACAAAGTAGTAGACAATTGAAGATTAGAGTAAAAAGCACAGAGGATATATATATATATATATATATATATATATATATATGCACGAAACAGGACAGAAAATGTGAACGGTTAAGTTCTACTTCGTACGAAGATGAACACCAGTGTACGGTCCATGTAACCTAGTCTATAGCAAAGGCAACGGTGAAAGGGATCGTAAAAAAGATTTGTTTAGTTTACATGTTAAAAGTGGTATATACTTAATATTATCAATAATTATGATAAATACAAACAATAATGTCAAGAGCATACATACATTTTAAATGTAAGTAATATAGTATATATACACAAAATATAAACGAACCAGGAAGATAACGTCGAGAAAATGAAAACACATATAGACATAATTCAATATATATAATAACGGCAACAGCAACAGATTGCGGGAGCTATTCAGTTGTCAAAAATGAGTAAAGATGAGATCGAACCAACATGAATTGATGAATGATAATTATGTTTGATTAAAGAACATCTTATATAGAAATTAGCGTTACGAAGTGCTACTACAAGACTTGCTTACTTACGTCTGCGTCTATGCATGCCACGCGAAGAGCCGGATCAGTGAGAACATTTTTTTAAAGATCCCTGAGAGGTGATCAGTTACGCTGTGGCTACTAGTAACAGGTCCCCACACACCTTAGAAATACTATAGAGAAGGACTCTAATGGGAAATACATAAATAGTTGTAGCACTCAGAAAAAGAGTGGCATGATGGAACTCAAGCCACAAGAGTTAATCATGCTACTAGCAACAGTCCAAGTTACATTGACTCTAATTCTAAGTTCTATATTGAGAATTAGGGACAAACACATAATAACAATAATAACTACTGTCTATCCATCTGTTGGGCGCCACTGCCTTTCTGCTGCAACTTATTATAGAGTCTGCCCATTTTGTATATACATGCACATATAATAAGTATACGTATTCTTATCATCGTTAGAGTTAATAAAGAGCATTATTCATGACACAAACGAAACATATTACAAGTACCCAATCAATATGCTTTTCACGCGACACCGAAACCCGCTGAAATGACGCCCTCTTCATACACAGGTACGATATCCGTCCGAATTTTGCTGCCTCAAACAATAGCCGAATATTCCAAGACGCTACTTGGACAGCACACTGTCACCATCTTCAGCTAGCGATAAAAAAAAAACTACCACGATCATCTTTTACTGAGGATATCTATAGAAAAAAAAGAAGGGGTGGAAATGACGACAGAAAACACCGAATCCCATGAGACATCGTAGCGTAACTTGTGGGCCGTATTAAGTTTATAACAGTTCTACGAATTCTGAAACAGCGTGAAACCGCGCTATAGGCGCCAATTGTCTGTGCGAAACGTATCTATCTTGCTTTGCGTCGAAGCGACTAATCTAGACATAAGCCTCGTTTGCATTCTAGTTAGGGAACGTTTGTTTTGGATAGCGTGACTATGTGTTCTTACGTGAAAATGCAACCATGTGGATCAGAGTTGTTGCAGGCGCCCAATGGCTGAATAAACACTTTTTCTTCGTTATGTGGATTCTTTGAGGTTTTTGTATTTCCTGTATGTGGTGCATAGGCACAATTAGACATTTTACTTATCTATTTGTATACGTACTTTAGTCGCTTCAAAGATGTCTATGCTATTAAATCCGAAGGCACTATGAAAACAACCGAGTAAGTGATGTCCATAGATATTGATTGCTGGAAAATTATCACTCGTTCTTTGTAATTTTCAACTTTTAATTTCAATTTATTACTTTAACAGTAGGTGGCGACATTGTGCTGCTTCACACGGATTGCGATAAGAAGTCAAAACAATTGTGCTTAGTAATACTTTCGATAGATGTAAAATCAAACGAAAGAAACAAAAACGTACGTAATGATAACATTATATGAAGAGGGCCTCTTAACTGTTTCCAATTACATAAAAAAAACACATACATTCATATAATAGTAGGAACCCGCATCCTCTGTCTTACCGGTATATTGACTAATATTAACTTATGTATTTAATTGAGACTATATATATATATATATATATATATATATATACGTTGCAGGTGGATCATGAATATGATGGGCGTTCGATCCGAAACAACATTATATAAACTCGAAATGGAGAATAGTCAAGGATGGAATCGTTTGCTCAGGTCGTTTGTCGCGACGGTTTAAACTGAAATCTTACTTTAATACAACCGGTTACATAATTTAGACTCTGTCTGGGGGAGCCAGAGCTAGTGCAGAACTACTTAGTCTAACTCATGCTCTATATACACATAATGATTTATACACTCGTATATATATATATATATATATATATATATATATATATATTAAAGAGCCGTCCTACAAAAGAACCCCGTGCTGGCTATTGATTTTTAAGACATTAGCAGCACCGGCATCCCGGTCAATCAATCACATCGCGTTGTGTATTTCCTCTGTCACTAAAGACAAGATAACGACAAGACTAAGTGAGAATATGGCATAGATGATGGAGATAGAATCCTGAGGCAAGCTTTTCGTGAAGCCCATAATGAAGTTAACCACCTACCTGCATCTACCGAAATGCTTTTCAGTTGAGCCGCACATCGAAAACGGTTGGGGACCGAACGCTCAGTGCAGATAACCCGGATTGCCCAACAACGGACTCATTCGTTATGAAGCTATGGCGAGAGCAGTCGCTCACATTCGGAATGACGAAAAACAAGCATAAACCTTTTCGAGTCTATGTTCCAAATGTATGAGGTTGTAAGGACTTGTCCTCCATAGAGACCTTTCTCTTCAAAGGATGATGAGCAGTAAGAGGTCAGCGTGGCCTCTTCTCTAAAAATAAAACCAATTTTAAAAAGAGGACGAAGAAACTGCCATAGTTTCTTGATATTTGAAAGCAAAATGGTATGACTGATGACACGCTAGAGAGATAGCACACCCTACAGAACGGGCCGATGTGAAAATAGAAAGACAAATATATAATTCTGCTGATAACGATGAAAACAATAATGCTAATAAGAAAGTGATCATGATTATAACGATGGGAAAACGATTGTGGTTTGGGATAGACGACGTCGCGTTATTAAATTGAAAAGGCTGAGATCAAAGAAAAGACAGGCGATCGAAACGAAGAGAAGGAAGAGAGAAAAAAAATGAATGCAAGGGAAGTTTAGCTTGAAACTTTGTCATTCAGAACACGGCTAATAAATACGCTTATTTATGTAAGTATAAGAACTTAGAGCAGTCTTGGTGTTTTCATTGAGCCTGACAGTTTATATAAGATTAGATACTTTATTAGGTATGAATATATTATGATGGTAGTTCTGATGTGTTTGTTAAGCGGTGAGCGAATGACTTAGCTAGCCAATCATGTGGTTCAGTTTCGAATTGTATATAATAACAACGCATTTAGAGAGAAGTGTATGTTTTCGTTATAAAAATATGTACATAACGTATCTAAAAATATCTAATAGCGCACTAAAAAGCTATGTAACTTATCAAATATATGCAAAAATAGGGAAAGAAGAAGAAAATTATTATAGGAAAAATCAGCGTTTTACTCACATTTGAATATTCGCCATTACTTTTTTTAATTTTCTTCAGTTTATTTTTCGATAAGACACCATATTTTAAGGTTTGTTTATTAGTATCAAGCCCGTGAGTTTAAATAAGAGTAGTAGAAAAAATCATGAAAGATTCGAACCTCTTTCGTGTACGGCTATGCTTAATGGAACACTGTAAAATAACAAAAAAATTATATATTGCGCAAGGGCAAGAACACTTACAGTGCAAGCCTACAACCAGTCTCACAATTTTAGATTCCATTACACATAAATAACAACAACTAAGTGCTACCGTTAGGTACTATCTATCGCGGCCTTAAAATATAAGATCAAAAAGTTTGATGCTTTATTATTACTCGGTGGGTTGAGGTCTTTTGCGCTGCACAATACTACCTCATTTTTTCCTGGTTTATATTTGCAGGTAAATAGTAAACAATGCCGCTTTGTAGTCACGCCTCGGTAGCGCAGTAGGCAGCGCGTCAGTCTCATAATCTGAAGGTCGTGAGTTCGATCCTCACCCGGGGCATAGTTTTCTTTTAATTTCGAAATTTCCATTGCCGTGTGCATTTTAATATACCTGTATATCGACGCTATGATAATATATATTTATTTCTAGAAGAACCTACCAACTTTCTTTCCACAAGGTTGTCTAGAATTTTATGAAGCCATGTTACCAGTTTGATCAGATGGATGCTTTCTCAGTTCATAACATGCATGACCTGCTGTTGAGTGTATTTATTTAGAAAATCAGGCGACGCATCATCTTGTCTATTAATTATTACCGCGTATAAATCTCTACGAAAATTGATTATTGATTTAGCCACACCACTTTTACTTACGTACTTACGTACAACAAGCTACAGCGATTCGTGTTATTTGCAAGTGTTCCTCTTGATCAAAATATCACTTATTAAAAGCAATCCCTTCCTATACTTTGTACGCTTATTTCAATTAAATAATCGTCATCCTTAATTTATTTATGGCGCTCTGGTTATGAAACTTAGCTTCTCCATTTACGCAATGAAGGCTCTTTCGCGCAAAATAAACCTCTAGTGTATAAACCGAACTTTATCGATTACTTTTGTTGCCGTTTTTTCTGTTTGCTTTTTCGTTTGTTAGAGCTAACCTGCGTTAAGAAAGGGGCCGAGCAGTTGTAACACTAATTTAAATTTTTCTGCCATTGGCATCGAACACAATGTTTATTATTTGGGCCATCCGCTAAAAAAGCGGGTTAAGTGTTTTAGTATTTTTGCGAATCTATATGAAAAACATATATGTTGCTAATGATTTCTCTCATAAAAGCTGTTCAAATTGTTATCCTCGATATACCAATTGCGCGATACTTTGTTGCAGAGTTAACTGGAAAATAACTTCAAGCAAATTCGATTGTATCTTATGTTTGGCGGGAGTTGGCTGGCGTTTATCTGGTACCGACTCTTTTCGCCTCGTGGCCTTGCTGGTGCAAGCTGTGTATGTGGTCGTTTTTTTAGATTTCTTGCTAATTTTTATTATTTTATAATTATCTTCAAAGTATTATATTGTGGATTACTTCTTCGTGAGACCGTGCAACTAAGCGCAAAAAATACACGCGAAAATTACTGAAAATTTCAATGTTCTGAGTCGCCATGTTCCTGCCTCACGTGCGATAGCTGAATGGCTTGTAGTTATTCGACGAATCTAAGTTCGACTGGCCATTAGAATTGGTTGTCGGTTTCCAATTGAAAACCGAAGCTGGCCCTCAGCCAGCTTGGTACTGTGAATAAAAAAATTGACGCCTACTTTCTAGATATGATCCCGCAGTTTCTCCTGGAAATCGATTCAATGCGATAGTGACTGTACAGTTTTTGCAGTGCCAAACTTCCAATGTTGGTTAAGTATAACCCACGACCGATTTTTTGTTAAGTACAGCAGGGTTTTTTGAAGCACTTTGATGCATCTGAATATAACGAGCGTTTAAAGGAGTTTCTAGTTTAGGATAAGGCTAATCAGCTGTAAATACAAAATGTGTTTCTCGGTGGTTTTTCTCGACGCGATTTATATGCACGTTACGATTTCTGTGAAGAAAACTCCATAGCCAGGCGTCGTGATGCACTCTAGATCGACGAACGGTTAAAGCAAATGCATTGAGAGAGCCTATAGAATTCACACCGGTGTATTTCATGAAGTGTATGACGATCCCTATAGGTAATCTTTCGTCCTCCCGTCTTTTACGAGTGTAAATTATTCGTACCCCGCAAGGCAGTGTTTATGTTGTTACAGTGCATTACATCCTTTAATCTTATTGCGATGTCTATCTCAATTCGTGTTTTGATTTTTTATGTTAAAATTTTCAGAATTCTAATTTAATATGGCGGACTGGTCCGAAGAGGTACAAGAATCAGCACCTGTTGTGGCTGCTGAGATAATTGACATTAAGCTATTCGGCCGTTGGTCATCCGCCGACGTTGAGGTTAAGGACATTGGCCTGCAGGACTACATCGCTGTCAAGGTACGTACATGCAAGCTGTGCATGTTTGTGTCTCTAAGGAAAGAGGCAAATCGAAAATGTGCGCACGCAATTCAGTCTCATGAAACGTGAGTAGTTTTTGTCAGTACACAGGATGTGTTTTTGATAAAAGCAGTTCGCAATGTACAATACAATGGTGGCTCTATTTTGGATCATAGGCGGACAAATTAGATGGAAGACACGCTTAGAATTTGGATCTAAACCTTTCTCTTAGTTTGTTATCTTATTAACATTATAAATTATAATCATAATGATTGGTTATAATACAAACGCTTACATGCCTGTATGGCATTTTCAGTTACGTACGGAAGAAGGCCGTATACATCCCTTTTCCGAACTAGTTCGTGCTTATCGATTACGAAATCGGGATCGTACTTCATTACAAAACCCATTACGAATTTCGGCGTCTCGTCATGTTGTTTCGCTTTTTTTATAGGAAAAACATGCCAAATACCTGCCGCACTCATCCGGTCGTTACGCAGCCAAACGCTTTCGCAAGGCGCAGTGCCCCATCGTTGAGCGGCTTACGAACTCGATGATGATGCACGGCCGCAACAATGGCAAGAAGATTCTCGCCGTGCGTATTATCAAGCACGCATTTGAGATCATCCACTTGCTGACGGGTGAAAACCCGCTCCAGATTCTCGTAAATGCAATCATCAATGCCGGACCTCGTGAAGACTCGACCCGTATCGGTCGTGCTGGTACTGTACGACGTCAAGCCGTCGATGTGTCGCCGCTACGTCGGGTGAACCAAGCTATCTGGCTTCTGTGCACCGGAGCCCGGGAAGCCGCCTTCCGTAACATCAAGACCATTGCTGAGTGCCTCGCCGATGAGCTCATAAACGCTTCAAAGGGATCGTCCAACTCGTATGCGATTAAAAAAAAGGACGAACTCGAGCGTGTCGCCAAGTCGAACCGTTAAGTCGTGCATGGACGAAAAGACGATACAGACACGGGAAAACAACTTGACAACTGTTGTTTCTTACATGAAAATGTGTGCTGGACTATGTCGTTGGCTGCTATTGGTCACAGTAAAGGCCATCGTCACCATGGCGGCGGTGGTGGCCAGAAACTTGTCGCGAAGTGGGATTTAATAATAAAACGTCCATGTGCGGCTTTAAGCACACTAATTTGGCATGAGTTTTGTGTTGGACAATTAGAGAGTGTTCAGCAAATTTTGTTTTTTGCAAATAGATTTTTTTTGTGGAATATTTGCTTTTGTAGGAAATGTAGAAGCGGTTTAGCTTAAATTTTTGGTAGGGTGATTGAAACGGGCTACGCAGATATATTTGACAGTAACCTGGTTTTTACAGTTTAAAAAGCAATATTTAATGACAGAGTCCAATTCGCAGATATATAATACGTGGGTTTATGCTTCTGTTCAATATATAAAATTGTAAATATCCGGTATGATTATGATAAAATGAGGCGTAATGGGAAACGGTTTGTGGTACTATCGTAAACGACGTGTTGAAAAATAATTTAGAAAATGTACCAGCTAGCTTCTTTAGAGTGTAAGTAAATAATACGCTGTAGCTTACTACTGAAGCCGCATTATAAGCAATCCACTGTGATTATTACACTAGGTGTTGTTCAGCCACAATGGCCGATAGTAATCACAATCAAATCATGTTTACATTAGATACCTAAAAGGTTATTAGTATGATTTCGACCATGAAGTCTACACATTTCTGCCCTAATGATGGTCCTGCTAGCCAACATCTACGGGTAGCATACTTCGAACGGCTTGTTGTTTTGAAAATAACAGTTCGGTTAGCAAGCGCGTCCCATCTTTTTTTTTTTTTTTTATATTAGATCTCCTCTATCCGCTTTTTGTTAACGGCAATAGAACACTTCAGAGCATTCAAAATGAATGTTATCAATTTTAGTGGTAACGTTTGGTAAGCAATTTATTTCGTATATTGATTTCTACAGGCAATTTTATTGTAATGAAACATCTAATATCATTGTCATTGGTTTATCTCAACATACCGTTTGAAGCCAAAATTTAACATATTTTTTATTACGAAATTCAGTGTGTGTGTCATCTTGATCATCGATGACCTTCTGCGATTGAGTAACTATTTTTGCGTCAATTCGTGTGACACTCAAGCATCGAACTGTTTTTGTACTTAGCCTTCTTAAAACGGCTTACAATTGTTTGGTAAAACATAGTTGGTAATTTGGCGAAATCTTAGCTACTCATTTTCACAATAATCTGGTCTATTTCTCCCGTAGTTGGTCGACCACTATGAGATGATATGGATGGAGAGTGAAATTTCCGGAGCAAGATCAAGAGAACCGTCTCTGAGCCGTTTGTTCTGATAACGCATTTTGACCATAAATATCAACCATTTCTTTTATGGGCCTAGACAGCACGTATGCCCCTATGGTAATCAAATTGTGGAGTATAGTGAATTTGTGCAGAAGTTTTACTCATCTTTAAGGCGATTTCTCTTGAGTCTGAACAAAAGCACTACAAGGAATTAGCACACCTGCTCAATGTCAGCTTTCAAATCCTGTCTTTATGCTATTAGCTAAGCACGACTCCTGCTATGTGTTTGAGATGTGTGGCATGACGTCATCTATACCTTTTCGACAACCCAATATGTTCTCAAAGTACGAAAAATATTTGCGTGATTTTTAAGATATGTTTTTTATTCTTTCTAATTCATAATGAATAAAATAGTATTTCATATATATATAGATATATATATATATATATGGAGCAGTATGGAGTAGTTCATAAAAGATTTTAGTTAGACGAGGGTGCCCTAAATAGGACTGGAAGACAACTAGTACAGTCCGTTCGATTCGACTATGTACATACTCGACAATGCCATACGCTCTATGCAGCTAGCAGCCTCCACAGAGTTCAGAGTAGCGAACTTAAATTGGTCCCTCGAAGCGTCTGCTCAATTGCCTCACGACCTCGTTTCTGGATAACTTGTCGAATCTTTTCTAGATTTCTTCAGTTGTAAATATACGGAAAATATGGAAATTGCATTAGCGACCTTAATAAGGAAAATTAAAATTAACAATGTGAAACCTTATGTATATTACAAAACGATGGGCTTGACCCTTAAGACTAGTTAGCTTCTATGTGCGAACAAAAGATACATTAATAATTAACGACCTACATTCGTAACGTATCTATATTTCAATATTTACATACAAGGTTTTTGAAGCACAACCGCATTGTAATTTTTTGATGCCCTAGGTAAATGTGACTTTATTACGTCCATATAGCTGACTCATATTTTGCTTTTTGTGACTGTTGCAAAAAGAGTGTTAGTTACATATTGCTGAAAAATATAATGGCAAAAGAGGCTTAAAATAAGCTTGGTCATTCACCTATCGATAAGGAATCGTTGCGTTAACGTTCGCGCGAGTTTGTTGAGGGCCCCAGCTCCCGTAAGATTGGTCACACGTAGATGGCCGAGTTCAGTCACTTCGAAATATACCAGAGCCACTGTGCCTGCAAGTATCTGGTACGGTATCATACATCTTTGTTAATTTGTTAATGTTACTCACTGTTATTTAAAATGGTTGTATAAGAAAGTTTCTACAGTTCCTAAGTTGCGACCTACCAATGAGGCTGAATCGATGCCAGATCGGTGTAGTGGTTCGCTAATTTTTTGATTCCCCAATAGTCCACGTGCTACGATTTATTAAAGCAGATACGCTCCTTGCCCCCCAGATACACCTCCTATATACGCTTAATTAAACTTCAACTTACATTTGCATACAGGCGAATTTTGGCAACGAGTCGTTCCAGAATTGCAGACACCGATCCTCGAATACGCAGAACTCGCGGTTCACGTTTGAGGCGAAACTTGGCCTCAACAACGACATTGCGAAAAGCCAACCCCGCGTCCATTGTCAAGTTTTGTCTGCTACTTGAGATCAATGCGGGGCCTTGCCTTTCCAGGCTGAGCAGGTTACGAATGGTAATCTAAATAAACCACTGGCATTTTTTAGTGTTAAATAAACTGATTTCGGCCGTTTAGATCCTTCTATAGATTTCTATTCTTAACTGCAATGAAGCTGGAATTTTTATTAATACTCCTATTCGTTAACATTGGGCCAATTTCTCTAAGGTCTCAAGCATAAGATTTCTTCAGAATGTTATACGAAATACAAAATTTTCTTTGTTCAGAAAGTGAAAAACATCCGTATTTTTTTTAAAAACATATATATTTTTATTAGGGGAAATTATGGCTGTTTTTATTTTTTTTGAAATTGAAATAGCACTCAAGACTTCGAGCGATCTCTTATTTCAGCAGCGAGAAACTAAAACGAGGGAGAAACAAAAACTCTGTCTATAAATAGAACAGACAAATAGATCTCTGATCTTTATTTGCTACGTATTTGAAAACTGTTAACGGAAAAGTATGTCTACAAGTACGAAACACCGACAGAAAAATTACAAATGCAAAATACGCGCTAATCTTGTCATCTTTCTGGCTAATTGTTCAAATGATGCTGGCAGCTAATGATATATATTTTATCCAAACAAGCATTTTATCAATTCTTGCAAACAATGCGTATGGAGAACATTAAGCATCAGTTTGTCTATGGATTTACATACATGCACAAATGTTCAATTCACTATGAATTATTATAGAGAGCTTACAAATACGATGGTCTTTCTTTGTTTCTGTTGTACCTAAACAGTCTATTACCATTTAGATTCCACATAATTGAAACCGGTTGTTTATGCTAAATCAGTTCGAGCGAAGTTCCATAAAGAGGAACGAAAGCAAAGGAAGTGAGGCCCATTATTCTGGATAGAATTTAGGGAGAAACTTCGAACTATGTCTAGAATCTTACGTCATGCACAACGATTTTCTGCGTAACCATGTCATCAAGCCGAAGCGGATCCAAGCGCATTCGAATCCTTGTTGTGTTTTTTACATTGTTGAGCGCATCGTCAAAAATCTGATCTGCATTCTGCGCTAAAATGGCCATCGGCCGTTTCGGATCATAGAAAACAATACATCGAAGAAAAGCTCATTAGTAATGTGTTTAGTTGGCAAGTTTAGACAATCATAGATCGACTGCTCTATTCTTGGTACTTCGGTAATTCATAGCAGGATAGAACTATCGTGTAGATGACAATAATTAATTATGGTCATGCTTAAATCTTGAATAATATAATACTACTAGTTTTGTAATATTCCTGCATGACCGCTTGAGCTTTGTTGACTTAATGGTGCGTTTGTTTTGAGCACTTATAGGACACTTTGGTAAGAAAAAAAGTATTAAATTTATAAGATTGCAACTGTCAGTAGACTGCCTAATATTCTAATCAATAATGTGCAACTGTTTTTCCAGCGAAACGTAGATCTAGAGATAAGTAAAGGCGGCAAGGCCTCTTTTTTTCTTAATTGATATGTAGGTGAACTAATCGCCCATTATCATTAACTTCAGTTGATAGCAGTTTATTGAGAGGTTCGAAAAGTCTCGGGAGTTTCGGTGTCAATCAATTAAAAACTTTTAAGTTATCTTGTTAAGTCACTCGATTTCTAAAGAAGAAATTAAGCGACGGACATTTGTGGTAGAATTCTCCCGTTCTGTAGTTGACTATTATACACTGACAACCAGCTCATTTAACTAGACTAACTAAATGATTTGAGTTTTGGTATTAGACAGCTCGTAGCTAGTCTGTACAGACTTTAAATTCTGCAGCCTCTAATCGCACACATGAAAGACGCTACAGCATGCTTAGTGAAATCAAGTAATGAACGAATTACCATGATCGATCCTGCAGCCGTGTTATCTTCGTTTTACCGACTAAGATCGTTGTCTATTTCATCATGGTACGTTGATTGACCCACATAATGAAGCTGAACGATTGGTCCACGTTCGAATTGTACTTCACTGCTTATGGATGTCGTATTATAAAATGTAAAAGTTTGGTGTCTCAATACAACATGAAAATTTTCCAGTGACTTACCATAGGCTGCAGCCTCAATTACAAATACGAGATATATCGTCACACACGTAGTCTTTCCTGTGGAGCAGGCACGTCTAGAAGTGGACTTTGACGCTGGTGGCGCCAGTGTCGAAAAATTATATGAATAATGATAACCCATTATGTGTATTTTAGCAGCAGGTGGCTACTGAGCGTGGAAGATTATTTAGCTTTGCGTACACTTATTTAGGTGCAGTTGACACACACAGTAATGTAGACACACTATAATCCTTGCCCTTCGCCATGCGCGAGGTCCACAGTAGCTATTGCCATTGCTTGATTACTGTTACGTAAAACTTGTGTTATCGCTGTTGCTCTTATTGTCAGAAAAAAGCGCAAGATAAGTGAGTTATATTATCTTTCGATATATGATTAAATCGAATCCAACTGACTAGCCACTAGTCAATCTACTCTTTAACAAATCGACAATTCTTAGTTCTTGATGTGCCGTGTAGGATTTGTCTTTTGCCCTACATTTATCAATCGTCAGTATCAGCACTAAACACGGAAAAATGTAAACGAGCATCCATGTCACCTTTCGGCATACGCACGATCTATCTCGAGCGAAGTCACAGATTCGCACCTTTCCTAGTGACACGACACTAAACAATGGCAATTCGTGAAAGATTAGTTATATGGCTTCAGCCTGGCGTGAAGTTATTGCTGTCCAGTCACAAATAGACACTCAATATCGAAAGATGAATAATACGTGATACTGTGCCAGTTGATATTGGTTTAACAGTCGCTGTTGCTGTGGAGCGCCTCCACGAGCTGAGATCGTTTGGCAGCGTGCTCACGCACTGAGGATTGTAAACAAGTAAGACACACGATAAGCAAGAGGGGGGTGCGGGCTAATCTCTGATAGAAGTGTTTTCCCTGTTGCGATTGTGAGTCTGAGCAAAAATGTATGTCTATATACACCAATACTGGGTGACCAGAGAAAAACCTGCATTACTCCAAGCTATCGCCTGGGCAAGACCCGCCTAAATCGATTTGTTCCTTGGCTAGGGCAAACAGTGGCAACACGTTTGCTGTCATGTGCGATGGTCTTTGGACTGGTATAGAGTGCTGGCTGCAAAAAAGTTCTTTGTGTGTATATAATCAACAAAAAAAAAACAGCTACAACCAGAAAATATGCAAAGAATAGGCACGCATGGTGAGGATGATTTTTAAAGTTGCCACCTAACTGGTTACAGTGGTAACGGTGGCTCGAAATAGACGGGCATATATAGATCATCGAATAAACGTACGTGGCGAAGGCGGCCCTCAGAAGGTAGCTCTGCAAGATGATGCTATAGACGGGTTGAGGAAGAAGGGTGACTGCAAGACGTAGATCAGTATGTAACGCTCAGGACATCGAAAGCTCTGAAAATACAAACAAAACAAAATACTTTTTGACAATGAAACGGATTTTAACGATGGGAGCAAGCAATTAAGGCATGCAGAGACTGAGAGACTGGGTAGATTGCAAAACAAAGTTGATGTAATTGAAATGAGTATGTAATAGGTGTACATGCTAGGTGTACTATGCACGAATGAGAAATTCCGCGGTGAAGTAACATGAAGACTGTTGTTATGAGTCTTTGCAACCAAATGTGATTATATATCATCTGATATTTCCTATCATATTAAGATAAGTTTTTTTAGTGAGCCTGTTCTTCGATCCAGATCCATTGGCCCCTTCATTGCTCGTATTTTTTCGCTGATCCACTCTGCGTAACTCATAATTCATATGCATCTCCACTGCTTGAACGACGTAATCATACACATTCAATGTGTCACGCAAGCTTTGAGCTTTGACTCTTATATGAAGTAGAGTTGATCCATATGGTATTAGTAGGCCATTGTAGTGCCTCATTCACTTGCGTACCGATTCTACCATGCCTAATATTATCTTTGAATACCGCACTCGGCAAGTGTTAAGTACATAAGCTTGTTCATATATATATATATAAATGGTCGTGTAAGGCGCTTAATAAAACGCGGCCAAAACGCTATTGTGTGTATGCGACAGGCAGCTTAGCTGGTCGACCAAATGGGTACCCAGAACTCAGTAAATGTTGAAGTAGAAGAATTGCTGCAGTTTCTTATTTGACCTGTTCTGCTCCTTCAGTCATGCTTTTAAGCTGTATGTACACAAGCTTCTGCTAATACCGTGTCCAGATACCCGTTTGTGAAGGAGACTATGATAAACTTTTTAGCATGCCAACAAAGATGACTTTTTACGAGGGCTGCGACGTTTTTTTAACATTTTTAATAATGTTATTCTCAGCGTCATGTCAATATTCGTGACGTTCATTATAGGCAGATTAAAAAAAAGTCACACGAATTCTACCCACGAGATACACATGTCACGTTGCGGCATTCACCAGATTGACTAGATGGAAATCAGGAGCGAGCACTAGTCTAGCCATTGAAATTGCTCACTGTGCATCTAGTACTATCAAAATTGAGATAGCATTTTTGATTATTTCGCCACAGGTTGTAAAACGACAACTCGGTTTGTGTTGGCCAGTCTAGTACGATTTGATGCTCGCATAATCCAAATAATGCGAGGTCTAAGTTCAATTTTAAGAATCAACAGCCAATCTTCGTGCTGCCAATTTTGGTGCTCGCGTCACCTACAGTATTATAATGTTGACGATTTGAGCAGCTTCAGTTTTTTTCCCGTCCTATGTTTATTTGGCGGTATGTTTAAAAACACCGCATGAGTCTTTACTTCGATTACTACTGCAATTCCAGTTGTAACATAACCCATAGACTACTTCTACTACCTATTGTTTTCCTTCAGTTGAATTAGAATTCGTGCCTTTTTGCGCGTTACCTGGTCTTTTTCTTGTCTCAAAATTCCCTTATACAAGTTGTCGTTTCAGGATAGTTACGTACCTGGTTGACTCTAGATTATTTATCACTTCAATGCCCGTCACCTCTACGATTTTCACAATCTCTACACATTATGTTGAGGTAACTTGAGCGTGCTTCACATGCTGAGCATTTGACCACGCTGGAAAATCGCGAGGGTTCGTCAACTAGACGGGTGAGTTTGGGGGCTTGGTCGTTGTTGTAATCCATCTAATTGTTAAGCAATCTTCAATCCTGCGGTCCCTACGGATCTCGCTACTCCTGCTTTCTTGATTGACGACTTCCCGATCGTACTTAAGACAGGTAACACACTGCATTTTCTTTTTTATCAGGGTGGCTAGAAACATTTTATTATAAAGAAATATTTCAGTCCAAATTTCGAATTGCGCCATTTTGCAAATTATTTTTGTTGCGAAAACAAACACCTATTTTTCATATCTTTTCATCAAGTTGCTGCTATTGACGATTTTGGTATTCGTTAATTTTATCCCATGTTACATCATCATTAAGATAAACATTTTTAATAGTCCTTCAGTTGTATCAGTAGTGCCATTTCAGTTGAAATCTAATGTGCTTTACTTTTTTGGATAAGATAATGTAGCAGAAAATTTATGATTTACAGTACTCGAAGTGAAAATAATAATGAATTGCAGCTCCTCAAAAAACAAGTTAAGCAAGGTAGTCAAATTCTTGCAAACGAAGTAAAAAAATTAGTTCCTTAGTGGGGATAGAAAAATTAACTGTATATATATACATATATAGCTAAAAATATCTTTCTTCATATAGTATTACATAGACAAGATTAGGATTACGAATTGAGAGCGATCTTCAGTGATGTAGCTAGCACAGTTGCTGGTTTCCCCGAATAACCATACATCGATTAGTAGCAGTCACCCGGTACTAAAAACATTGGTAAACCTATTTGCCACGTTTTGAACTATTTCAGCGTCAAACCTGTTTTTTTTTTTTATCAATCCTCTTTGGTTTTGTATTTTCAAGAGGACACATCACCAGATTGTCCTTAAATTCGTACCGCCAAAATGATGCGCGTAAATTGTTAGCAATTAAGTCGAAGAGGGACCGATAAGCAATGAAATAAAATCTTGTATTTAGTTCCATTTGAAGAAGCTTATTTGTCTTGTGTCAGAATACTATATTTTACTTTTATAGAATGCACATATCTATAGTTGCAATGTTTGAACATGCCTTAGAGGCCATGGCTTAAAGTCGCTTAATGCTTTCAAATGTCTGATCTTTCGTATCGTAATTTATTCGATTAGTTTCGTGGCTTTTTTCCTGACTAGAATGATACGAGGCTATTGCTGATTATTGATATAAGATATTTATATATAACCTATAGAACTCGTCACGAGTCTCAAAATTCTTAAAAATTATTTCTTTACTTCATTGCGTTTGACATAATAGGCTGAATTCGCTAGTGAAACGAACAACAGTTTGGCAGTACGAAACCAAGCACTTTTGGCCATTACTACAATGAAAACTTAGATACGGGCTGCATTCATTACATGTAACGTTGTGTTGAGTTCATCCGGAATAAATTCTATACAAAATATAGATTTGCTCATTAAGCTCTATTTAAAGTGACGTTGCAATCAATGTACGCTTATTTTACATAGTATTAGTTACATAGTGTTATAATTATCAGGAGACCGCAAAAAGAATTTTAAAAAAATCTAAAATAACTGAATTGACTTTTAGGCTCGTTGATTAATGCGTATGCTTAAAATCTATTATTTCCTGAGTGTTAGTTCTATAACATTTTCTCCAAATTGCAATCTTAATTTTAGTAATAGTTATTATCTTATTTTTACCTGTGTAAGAATAGTCGATGACGACACCCAAATATAGGCAATTAAAATCTAGAATCGATTGAGGCAAATCAAATATCCTATTAAATAGAAAAAAAATATGAATAAAAAGTTATTTAATCAACTCTCAGCTTGACGTATTTCTTGACTTTTCAAGGTTACTTAGTTTTCATCATTAATTGTGCTCTCCTTGCGACTATCACGCGGTCATAAGACATCACACCGATAATTTCTTTAGCCATCAATTACCCATCGGTTGGCAAGATTATCTTGATGGCATTTATATACGCCATTCGCTCTTACGCAATCGAATGCGATTACTTAATCTGTCAGAAGTTATTTTTAGCGCAACAATCAGTTACCATACGAAAATCATTCGTACTGAATGCTTGCATTGAGTTGCATACGAATTTGCTTTTCGGAAGTAACCCCACACTCCTTTCCTCTCATCGACGATCTGCTGATACGATACGTTACAGGCTGCTTTCATTAGCATTATACTGTACAGTGTCATTTCATCAGGCTTTGTAATTTTTGCAATATATTTGCTAATAAGGCGTAATATGGTTGATGTCACTCAATGTGTTTTTTATTATTGCTACATATCCAACGTTGCGTGTGATTGGAGCGACGAGTGGTTTATTTCACACAAAAAGCTGATGTAAGCAGCAATGATAAGATAAAATGAAGAGAATATAAATTTAAATACTGAACCATAATTTATAGTATTAATATTTTTAACTTAAACTAAATATTATAAAAAGGGCGGGCTTGTTTTCTGGCAGAGCTCATTTTCAAGCTCCCTAAAATGTATGTCCTTTCACTATAGGTTTTTTCTTCATTTTTTCACCAAACAATGCACGTTACTCGTTGAATAGTGCTGTATAATGGTTAGTCATTAGCAGACGCTATAGTTTATTTGCTTTTGTTCATAGGATCGTACGCTACTGTGGGAAAAAATTATCGCAGTTTTATGACCTCACTGATAAATTTGTATAGTCCAAGTAGAGCAAACACAAAAGACGATTGTCATTATAAACCCAGTGTTGTTATCGACGTAATATGGATACCGGTATAATCGGTTTATTCTTGTTTCATATTTTCTACGGTAAAAACGTACTCTTCCATTTGTCTTTAGCACAAACGTGTGTCGAGTTTTGCTCTAAACTGCGTGTCGAAGCATTGCCACCGACAGAGGCCATTAGTACAACTAGTCGAACACGATTAAGTCATCATATTCATCGCGACAAGGGTGAAAAAAAATTTGTAAAACCAGCGTAGCCTGAGGAAGAACTGCGTCGAATGTAGATTTTTGACTGCGGATTTATTTGATCGGTATTACCCTATCAATCGTAGACGGCGTAAAACACCTAGCACTGTTCCTAGAACAGCCAAAGATTTGGCTCAAAGATAGTGCCGTATTGCGTGACATATAGCTTGCTTCAGAAGGTTACTTCTCGTTGTCCTTCGTAATCAAAGGTTGAGGCGTCCGCCTTTTCCTTGACGAACATATTTGGAATTTGAAATACTGCGACTGATT